TATCCTACACCAAAAGCAACTGACAGTGGGTCAAGTTCCTTAATATAAGACCCAAAATGTTTCAAGTGTAAGAGAGAAGCACTTTAAGATGCAGACATACACAAGAATGCTGCAAAGGAAGGAGATTGCACAGGAAACAACCCTAATGTGACTATGAGAAATTTTCAGCCTGCACAGAAAGGAAATAACCACCAGTGCAGAGACAAACTACAGAATTCAACAACACTGTGGCCAACATCAGACAGGAGGTTAATGTTTCTAGACAACAAAAAGAACCGCAACAATTAAGAACAAAAAACAAAATCCAGTTTCCAATCAATAAATGAATTAATGAACTGAGCAGACATTTCTCAAAAGAATAAACAAAAATGGTCAAGTAAATATTTCTGAAAGTGGTCTATTCTTAGCCATCAAAACATATGAATTAAAACTGCCTTAAGAAGTTAGGGAGATGACTCCGGCAGAAAAGTGCTTGGTGTGCAAGTGCAATGAACTCATTTTGGATCTCTGGTACCGAAATAAAGAGCTGAAATACTGGTACACACATGTAATCTCAGTAAAGGCAAGTTGGAGAAACAAGAGGCTTGCTGAGCAGCTAGTAACACCAAATAGTAAGCTCCAGGCTCCGTGAGAAATCTTATCTCTAAAAATTAGGTGACAAGTGATTAGAACATCCCACTCTGACCTCCATATGTGTGTACACACCTACATACACATATAAACACCAAACACCTACACACATATATAAATGTGCACACATGTTCATGTGTATACACACACACAACTTTATTTTCATTTCCCTTATTAAAAATATTCTTTTCTCATACAATATGTCCTGATTATACTTTCCCTTTCCTCTACTCCTAGTTCTTCCTCACCTCCCTTCCCCTCCAGGTCCACTCCCTTTCTGTCTCTCTCTCTCTCTCTCTCTCTCTCTCTCTCTCTCTCTCTCTCTCTCTCTCTCACATATATATATATATATATATATATATATATATATATGGGAATATATATATATATAAAAGATTTATTTATTTTGTATACAGTGCTCTGTCTGCATGTATGCCTTCATGTCAGAGGGAGCCAGATCTCATTACAGATGGTTGTGAGCCATGTGCTTGCTGGGAATTGAACTTAGGACCTCTGGAAGAGCAGCCTGTGCTCTTAACCTCTGAGCCATCTCTCCAGCCCTCTGTCTCTTATTAGAAAAGAACATGTTCCTAAGAGATAACAACCAAACATGACACAATAAAATATAATAAGATGAAGCAAAAGCTATCATATTGAAGTTGGACACAACAACCCAACAGGTGGAAAAGAGTCCCAAGAGATGGTAGAAGAGTCAGAGACCCACTTATCTCACTTCAGGAGCCCTATTAAAACTAAACAAACAGCTATAATATATATGTCCTTGTAGTAATATGAATTGTACTTTGGGTATAAGTCCAGGAATGGTATAGCTGCATCTATTTGTTTGTTTGTTTTAGAGACAGGGTTTCTCTGTGTAGTTTTGGAGACTGTCCTGAAACTCTCTCTCTAGACCAGGCTGGCCTCGAACTCACAGAGATCCGCCTGGCTCTGCCTCCTGAGTCCTGGGATTAAAGGCGTATGCTGCTGCCGCCGCCGCCGCCACCACCACCACCACCACTACCACCCGGCCCTAGCCAGATCTTAAAGTAGATTGATTTCCAATTTTCCAAGGAACTGCCATATTGATTTCCAAAGTGGCTATACAAGTTTGCACTCCTACCAGTAATGGGGTGTTCCCTTACTCCACACTGTCTCCACCATGAGATGTCACTTATGTTATTGATCTTAGCCATTCTTACGGGTGTTAAGATAGAATCTCAGAGTCATTTGGATTTGCCTTTCCCTGATGGCTAAGAATGTTGAACATTTCATTGTTTCTAAACCATTGGAATTTCTTCTATTGAGAATACTCTGTTGAGTTGGTAAAAAAAATCTTTTCCAATTCTGTAGGCTGCTGCTTTGTCCTATTGACAGTGTCCTTTGCCTTACAGAAGCTTTTCAGTTTCATATAATCCCATTTATTAATTGTTGGTCTTACTGCCTGTGCTATTGGTATTCTGTTCAGAAAGTCATCTCCTGTCCTAATGAATTCAAGGCTATTTTCCAGTTTCTCATCTATCACACTCAGTGTAATTATGTTGAGGTTTTTGGTACACTTGGACTTGACTTTTGCACAGGGTGATAAATATGGATCTATTTGCATCTTTCTATATGCAGTCATCCATTTGACCAGCACCATTTGTTGAAGATGCTGTCTTTTATCCAGTGTTTATTTCTGGCTTCTTCATCAAAAATATTAGTAACTCAATAGCACACCTGAAGAAAGCTCTAGAACAAAAAGAAGTGAGCATACATAAAAGGAGTAGATAGCAAGAAATAATCAAACTGAGAGCTGACATCAATAAAAGAGAAACAAAGAGAACAATACAAAAACTCAGTGAAACAAAAAGTTGGTTATTTGAGAAATTCAATAGATAGACAAACCCTTATCCAAATTAACTAAAAGACAACACAGAGAGAATATCCAAATTAACAAAATCAGAAATGAAAAGGGGGTCATAACAACAGACACTGAGGAATTCCAGAGAATTGTAAGGACATACTTTAAAAACCTGTACTCCACTAAAGTGGAAATCTAAAAGAAATGGACAATTTTCTCAATAGGCATCACTTACCAATATTGAATCAATATCAGATAAGCCATTTAAATAAACCTGTAACCCCTAGTGAAATAGAAGTAGTCATTAAAAGTCCAAGCCAATAAAAGACCTCTCCATTTTTTTTTTATGTAGACATTCAATGCTATGAACTTTCCTCTTAGCACTTCTTTCATAAGTTTGGGTATGCTGTGTATTTGCTTTCATTGAATTATAGAAAGTGTTTCATTTATTTGCTTATTTCTGTTTTGATCCATTTTTCATTCAGTAGAGTTCTTCAGTTTCCATCAGTTTGTAAGCTTTCTGGTTTTTCTGTTGTTGTTGATGTTTAGCTTTAATCTGCAGTGGTCTGATAGGATACAGGGATTTATTTCACCTTTCTTGAATCTATTGAGACTTGCTTTGTGACCAAGTATGTTTTCAGTTTTGGAGAAAATTCCATGAGGAGCAGAGAAAAAGGTATATTCTTTTGTATTTGGGTAAAAAGTTCTTTAAATATCTGTTAGGCTTATAACATCTGCTAACTCTAGTGTTTCTCTGTTTAGTTTTTGTCTCAATGACCTGTTGATTGATGAGAGTAAGGTGTTGAAGTCTCCCACTCACAGTGATTTAAATCACAATATGTGATTTAAGGTGTAGTAGTGTTCCTTTTCCAAACTTGAGTGCCCTTATATTTGAGGAACAGATGTTAACAATTGAAATGTCAACTTGGTGGATTTCCTTTGATGAGTATGGAGTATCCTTCCCTAACTCTTTTGATTAGTTTTGAAGGCTATTTTGCTATATATTAGAATGGCTACACCAGCTTGCTTATTGGGACCATTTGCTTCAAATATCTTTTTCAAACCCTTTACCCTAATGTCTATCCTTGATGTTAAGGTGTGTTTCTTGAAGGCAGCAGAAGAGTGGATCCTGTTTTCCCATCCATTCTGTTAGTCTGTGTCTTTCAGTTTTTAAATTTTTTTTTTTGGTTTTTCGAGACAGGGTTTCTCTGTGTAGCTTTGTGCCTTTCCTGAAACTCACTTGGTAGCCCAGGCTGGCCTCCAACTCACAGAGATCCGCCTGGCTCTGCCTCCCGAGTGCTGGGATTAAAGGGGTGCACCACCACTGCCCGGCAGTTTTTAGTATTTTTATTGTTCTGTATATGTAGTGTTTTATTGTTATATGGTAAGGGAACTTGCTTATCTTGTCCAATCTATTTGGTGTTCTGTATGCTTCTTGCCCTTCTTTAGGTCAGGAAAATTTTCTTCTATGATTTTGTTGAAATATTTTCAGGGTCTTTGAGCTGGGATTTTTCTTCTTCCTCTATTCTTATTATTCATAGGTTAGGTCTTTTAATGGTTTCCCAGATGTTTTGTGTCAGGAAATTTAGTGTTTTCTGTGACTGATGTACATTTTCTTCTACCATATCTTTAATGCCTGAGATCCTCTCTTCCATCTCTTGTATTCTGTTGGTGAAGCTTTCCTCTATAGTTACTATGCACATTCCTAAGTTTTTTGTTTACAGGATTTTTTTAGATTGTGTTTTCTTTGTTCCTTCTATTTCCATTTTCAGTTCTTTAACAGTTTTATTAGTTTCCTTTAACTGTGTTTTCCTTGATTTTTTTTTTCTTGGCTTTTCAAGACAAGGATTTTTTTGTTCATTTCCTCTACAAGGACCTATTTTGACTTGGTACTGGCTGTTTCAAGGTCTTTTCTTGTGCTTCAGCTACATTGGAATATTCAGACCTCCTCTGTAGGGTTTCTGGGCTCTGGTAAAGCCTTTGCAACCTCCAAAGGGACAAGACTGCCTTGTTTTGGCAATGAGATGGCTTCTTACAGGTGATCCTTTGGTGATATTAGGATGGATACTCATGGGTGTTTAGAGGATTGGAATTTTTAACTATACCCATTAGCCTCTGGAAAGGATATAAAGGGGCCAAAGCTTGAGTTGATCACAGATGGTCAATTCTGCAACAAGTCATGAATGAATCTTCAATAAATTTTTTTTTAAAAAAAAGTAGGCTTAGAAAGAGTCTCCCAATAGCTGATGAGTGGAAGTTCCTGGGGTGGAACTCCCAGCTTCACTCCTGTTCTCCCATACCTTATCCTATGTATCTCTCCCATGCATTTGCTCAGCTCTCCCTTTTTAATAGTTTTTACTTTAAAAAAGTGACTAAATATGAAGTTATTTTCTGAGTTCATTAGGCCAATCTTCTCATAGACTCTCCAGGATGCATAGCATGCTAGTATGGTGTTATCATGGAGCCCAATCCCAGAAAGAGTGAGAGAACAAAGGGGTATGACACAAGGTGTGTTAGAATGAATACTTACCAAGTTGTTACTGTTAGAACAAGCCTAACTGATTACTTGTCATAGGGCATCATCCAAAAGGCTGTCTAAATCATTACAACTCCATGCAATCTGTCAAAAATAAAAAGAGAAGAATTTAAATTCAGTTTTGTTTCCAGGTGGGAAAATTTCTTCCCACAGGAAATTACTGTCTCCTGGTGCTAACTTACCTATGCCTGCATAACAAATGGGTTCTATGGTCTCCCCTGACTGAATGCACAAGGAAGGTACAGACAGGAATATGAGAGAAAATTGACATAGATATGGCACATGGTACTGTTAGCCCATGGCCCTGGGAATCAGTTGTCTAGGTACAGCAAAGAGTGTCTATAGCCGGGCGGTGGTGGCGCACGCCTTTAATCCCAGCACTCGGGAGGCAGAGGCGGGCGGATCTCTGTGAGTTCGAAGCCAGCCTGGACTACCAAGTGAGTCCCAGGAAAGGCGCAAAGCTACACAAAGAAACCCTGTCTCGAAAAAACCAAAAAA